TTGAAGATAAAGTGTTCAGCTGGAATGATAATCCATCCAATCCTGTGTGTTCTTCAGGCATACCATGTTTAAATGCATTTGAATGAAACATAATTTTATTTTAAAAAATACAATATATGATGAAATCTTTCTCTTAATTGCTTTTAATTGACTCCAGAGTGTGATTTCACTGAATGAAGTAAATGCAAGAGCTTTAGGAAAGTAAGAAAAAAATTATAATTTTCCTATATTACAGACTCATATTTGTTTAAAAACTGAAAGTGGAAGAGGGAATTCTTGGTAATGAAAAGAGCCATTAATATTGTTGTCTAGCAGCATCCAAAGTGTGTTGTGAGTCTAACTTTCTGATTTAGTATGGAATGAGCTGGCAGCCCACTGAATTATTCTCTGATAGTAAATTGTCTGCACAATCCAGGCAGGAGTGCTGACAATTAAAATTTATACCAAATATTACCATTTTCTTACATTGTGTCAGATCACCAATTTAGTCCTACTGCCTCAGCACACAGAATTGCAAGATCACTGATACGGGAAGCACACTTTCTAATTTTGGTCAAACAATTCTTACTTTGCAAAAATTTGTAACTAACACTGTATTACTGGCCTTCATCCACAGGTAATACTTTCAATTTTGAATTTGTAACTAACACTGTATTACACTGACATCCATCCTCAAGTAATACTTTCCATTTTAAATACCCATTTGTAGCATTTGATTATTTCAAATAAGTAAGAAAGTAAGAAATGGCTCTTGGAGCTACTTTTAACAGAGAAAAAAAAAAAAAAAAAAAAAAAAAAAAAAAAAAAAAAAAAAAAAAAAAAAAAAAAAAAAAAAAAAAAAAAAAAAAAGGTGCAGCATACTAGAATTCCCTTGGCATTACCTGGCAAAAGGAACTCAGTTTTGGAAATAGCAGTCTGAGTAGGAGGTTGTGAATGATCTGAAAATGTATATCTTTCTCTATAGGGAAATAGGTTTTCCATGTAAGTGCTGCAAAATTGTTATCAAAGACAGTGGTTCTTTTTTTAACACTTACTGGAATTGATATTGCACCAGTGAAATGATACAAGGATAGCATAGGTGGGGGAAGCTGAAAGGAATATTACTGGCCATTTGATTTGCTGTCTACTGGTATTACTGTGTATTTGTATGTTGTAGAGTTGGGCTGAGAGGAGTGAGTATCAGAAATCAATATAAAGAAATATATTGACTGTTTCTCACTTTCCCCCCACCATTCTCTGTATCTGTGCTTAACTTAAAATTCTTCCTACTCTTGAGAAACTGTACTACTGCCTTCCCAGAGATTTTAGGGGTTGCTAGAATTCTGAAGAAACTAAAGTGACTTTTCCCTCTGCATTTCTGTTTACTGACAGGCATCTTTACACACCTAAGTTTCCTGTATTCTGGCAAATTACAGATCACATTTTGGCCTTGTAATTCAATAATTTTGTTTTATTTACATTGAGATATAACATTGAACTTGTTATTACACCTACACTATCACACAGGTAGGGAACTGTCATAACTTGTATTCAGTATTAATCTTCATGCCCTTTTGTCTCTGATTTGGTCTCTTCTGATTCATGGCTTTTTTATCTCAATTGAAGCCAGTTGTTATTGCATGTATAACCCAGAAGCCTTAATGCAGAAAAATCTTATCACTAGTTATTATTCTGATTTTCTAACAATATATTTCTAATAAGGTGGCATGTTACTTGTCAGAAGAAAGCAGTAGAGAATTTTGGGCTACTGTGTTTTGAAACTGAGTACCGGAAAGCAGTTTGAAGTGACAAAAATTACTGATGGGAAACCTGAGAAGTGGAAGAACCTTTTGTAATAACATACATAGCTGAGGGAAATTGAAAAGCTGTGAAAATTCTCCAGTAAAATTACATTTGTGTAGATTTTGGAGGCTGAAACTGTTCTGAGTAATTTTGCAGCTTCAGCTGCAGAGTTTTCTGCTGCAATTGAAGATAAACTGTTACAAGTATACTGTTTATTTTCTTATGTAATTAGCTGTACCACTGTCATAACACATGCATAGTCTTCTAATTTCAAGTATCCAACTGTGCATATTTTTCCACAAATATGGATATACAAAAGCAAAATGGGCATCTTTGATCACAACATGATGCTTTTCGGTAGGCTGACATTGCAATAAAAACATAATATAAGGATATAATAAATTATGGTATCAAAATATTCCATCACAATATCATAATAAAGCATCCCACTATAAATGAGTTTTAACTGTGGTAAAAGAGCTCAGATGTCATGAGACAACTTTTAAACTAGATCTTAAATTTGACTATAGGTTAGTCACAGAGCAACAATTGAGAAGGACTGTTTTGAAAATCTTGTCCATGTCTAATAAAATTTTTGAATTAACTAAAGTTTAGAAAGCAATTATTCCATAATATGGAGTAATTTTTCAGATTTTGTCTTAAAGAAAACATGTTTTTTAAAGTTAGATGATTAAACTTTGAAACATATGCACAGGACATGACCAGTTACTATATTACATAAATATTTTGAAAGCATGTTTTTGCTAGATGTATGTGTCCTAGATATATATTTGCCTAATGAAGTGTAGCAGTTCAGATAGAGTCATGTATGGCTTACAGTGTTAATAAAGGTGCCAAACAGACATCTTATTTCAAATAAATAATTCCTCTTTTAAAAATTATATAAATGCATATCTATATGATGGATTATCACCACAGCTCTGGCATAGTCATATAAGTTTGTCAATTTAAGACATTCTTTAGAAAGGTGTTTAAATACAATAAAGATGAAAGAAATCTGTTAGGGAAATTATAACTGCCTTTAAATTCCTCTGTAAACATATATGTTCAGAAAATGAATATTATGACAGTTCTGAGTATTTTTTCTTCTAACCTATAGAATACTATTTTTTTTAAAATTCATTATGAGGGTATGTAAAGATATTGAATCAAAACAAAAACTGTTTTTTACATCAATAACATTGCTATTAAGTCTGATTTCTCTTCTGTTCAGTGATTAGAATTCTGTTCTTTGTAAGAAGTACAGCACAGGCTCTAGATAACTAACCAGAGCTTCTTTTTCCCCCAGAAGTGAATATTTTACTGTAGCATAATCTGTTGACTTGCTGCCAATCATTAAGTTTCTCTTTTTTTTTTTTTTCAACTCTCAAAGGAAATCTGATTTATTTTCTCTTTAATGCCATATTTAAAATATAACCCTCACTACCGCTTGGAAGAGAGTAATATGTGAGTGTAATCATAGCATGATATTTTTCATTCATTGTGGTATGCTGATTAATTGAGGTGTTGAAAGCAGTACAAACCAATATGTTTAAATTTGTCCTCAATATTTGTTATCCGGAGTGGAACCCATTTGTAGCTTGAAGCTTATTGATTTATTTTCTTTTTTACATATGGGAGTTTTTTTAGAACATCACAAGTTGTTTGTGTATTTCAATACTGTTGTAATGGTTTTAATGAATGATTCTTATTTTAGAGAGAATTTTGTGTGTGGTCATCTGATTATAGTGTACAAAGAAGAGGCTGTTAATTGGTGTATTAGCCTTCACTGAGATCTCATTTCAGGTCTGCTGGTACACTGAGATCTCATTTGTGCATTGGCTTTTTAGTGGTTCTCATTTGGTAGAGTTGAGCCCAGAAGGACTGAAAAACTAGTGGTACAGATCTTGTTAGTCCTGCTGGTTATCTCATCCTCGGCAGACCTAAAATTTAGAAAAACTCAGGGCACTATCTCATTTTAATTATGTACTTCAAACAGTCATCTAAATTTGCTACTGTATGAGTTCTTAATGGAAGTCTAACATAACCTAGTAGTTTGCAGTGGCTGCATTATAGCTTGTGGTGAATCAGGAAATCAAAAGAGTTCATATCAAAGGGGCCTGTCGAAGTAGGTCTTAGAGGCAACAATTGATTTTTCTTCAGCAATGGTAACAGAGGAAAGGGGAGTCTTTCACAAATGTGTCTTTATACATAAGACTGAGACTGGATTTGTTGAAGTATGAATATACACACCCTTCATCCTCTCCAGATATATATTAGTTTGTGTCTCTGTAGATATGGGTTTATGCCTCAATGTGTATGTGTTTATATATGCATTTATACTCTTCCTTAAATACTGAAGAGAGTCCCCTGCAAGAGTGCAAGAGTGTTCTGAACCTCAAAGATACTGAAATGGCCATTTAGTGTGTTAATTTTTTTATTCCATAATTATGCTTTGCATGTGATGCTTTCACATTATAAGATCTGATGAAATTTTTGTTAGTTTCACACCATGTAGTGCATTGGTAAAGGACAGAACTACAAGGCATTGAGTTTTCTTGTTTAGGGGAATACAGAATGTCTTTCTTTATAATTTTTAAAAGAATTGTTAGTATTGATATACTGATATTATCCATAATCTTTAAAAGTACGATGCCTGATGCTTTGGTGCTGGAAGTTCTTTAATGTTGAATTATCTGTTTGAAACTTACTGAAATATGAATCATATTCCCATCAATGTGAATTCAGTGTGTATTTTCTTGCCATTTTCTTACAGGCTAGTGTTTGAAGAGTATTAAGTGTTTGATTTCAATTGGTGATAAAATATATTTTAAAAAAACCAAGACAAATACATGTCATAGTTACCATGACATGTATTTCCTAGTAACAGTGACAGGGATACTGGAAAAAGTTTGTTTATTTGATAAAAAAGAAATCTGGCAATTGTAATGAAGAGGGGGTAGAAGTTCTCTATGTTTGTAGCACTTCAAATATAGTGGGTTATTTTTTTTTAACACTTACTTGGGCAGAATACCTGAGAAAATATTATTTGTTTCTTTCTATTAAATATGACTATTGGTTCTCAGGTATCAAATTGTTTTAAACAAGAAGCAAACACTTGCAAATACTTCATATACATACCTTTGTGAAAGGAATTTAACAGTAAATATAAATTCTCTTTTTGCTTTGTTTTTTAAATTTTTTATTTATCATTTCAGGAAACAAGAGTTCAAACATCAGTGTGGCTCCAAGCTAGAAATTCAGCCTGACCAGAGTTCTGTCCTAGACTTTTTGGCATTGCAAGCTGAACCTGACACATCCTACAGTGTTATGCAAAACAGAGACAGTTCTCTGTCTTCAATCTGTTTCTTCAGTCTGGATGTCACATCCAATCCCAGAAGAACAATGGAAAATGGATTTTCAGATTCTTAGTATCAATAATCTTCTAGAAGGGAAAATTATATTAATGTAAAATGATGCAATTAAAGTGTAATTTTTTTGCGATCTTTGAATTGTAGCTCAGCGTTTGTATTTTTTGACATTAATTTTACAGTTTTATGAAAATGTGCATTTGTATGTTCACATTTCTGCACCTGTCAGTTTTGCATACTGAAGCAGTTATTTCTTTAAACTTTTATTTATTGCCGTTGTTCATTTTTTATGTAGTATATTTTTAAATGTTAGAGAATGACACATTTTGGGTAATTTTCCTCAGTCTTAAAAAAAAAATCAATAAGCCATTTTAGTCTCTATCTATCAAAGTTGTTTCATACTTGTCTATTTTAAAGCAGGACTGCAATACTTTAATAGGATTGAGAGAGCTATTTGAAATGTATGCCAATGATTCCTGTCATTTCATGGCAGCCCTGCCATGGTTCACTGAGCCCCCTCTTTTCTCTTGTCAGCTCAACTGAAGACAAGCATTTAGTTGCAAACTTTAAGCAGGTTGTGCAAAACAGAAATGATGTGACTGCTTCTCTTCCTGCACAATAATGTCACTGCTGGTCAATGTGAGAAGGTCAGGTTGCTCCTTGTAAAGCTACATGATACCACTTGCCTATTTGAACAAGTTCAGTTAACCACTGAATCTGGTCCCTGCAGGCGCTGAAAACTCACCCTTTTATCAAGTCTGCATTTCATAAGAAAGAACAATTGTGGAGAGAGGATTTCTGATGATATGTTTATATACTTTATAAGGACAGTTCCCAAACCAGTGTTGCAGGTAATGTATTTAGTTTAAGCTGAAAGACTAAAAAGTAATGGCTGTTTTGACCTTCAAATAGACTCCTTTTTTGTTGTTGTTGGTAGGACCCAAGAGTGACGCCCATCTTTGATGCTGACAGAATTTAAAGCAAGGCCATTGCCCTGCATTTTCTGCCTTGTAGCACACAAAAGTAAAATTGTATGTCAGGCCGAGATGTCGGGGAGCTGACAAGATGCCCCAGTGACATTTCAGCTGGAAAGAGCAAGTGTCTTGCAACCAAGTGGTCAAATATCAAATAATAGGTCAAGCAGGAAGGAGCTGAGTTCTAACCACAAAGAGGTTTCTGGTAACTTACTTGACAAGCTTTTGGGTGCTTTGTGGCTTGACAAAGTGATGTTCTGTTGGGTATCGCTAGACAGACTGTTCTTTATCGCCTTCAGAAGATCAGACATTGACATTGATTAAACTCTTTAACCCTTAAAGGTTAAATCCTAGCATTTTCATCATTGTGAATAAAGAACAAAAGAATTTTTTTAATATACTATTTGTTTTCATATTAATCACAGAACTCCCTAGTGCTATTAACTTTTGATGTGCTGTGTAGTTTTTGACAAAAAAATTGAATGCAAAATCTATATAATAGATTGTTGCTCAGTATGGGCCAGTGATACATTAGAAAAATAATATTATGCATTGAGGAATTTGTAATTTATTCTAATATGTCAAATGTAGGGTTTGATTTTAAAGCTTCGTGACTACTACTGAAATTCCATTTTGGATGGAAAAGAATATTTGCATAAATTATGTATTACTTAAAATGAACAAATCTTCCAGCTGCCCTTGTTTTCAGGTAGTCTAGAAACATACCATATCCTGAGTTGGATACGATCATCAAGTCCAAATCGTAGCCCTGCACAGGACAATCCCATGAGTAACACCATGTATCTGAGAGAGCACTGTTCAAATGCTTCTTGAGCTCTCCTGCTGTGACTGCTTCCCAGGGAGCCTGTTCCAGTGCCCAACCACCCTCTGGATGAAAATCCTTTCCTTGATATCCAGCCTAAACTTTTCCTGACACAACTTCAAGCCATTCTCTTGGGTCCTGTCACTGTCACTACTGAGAAGACATCAGTGCCTGCCCCTCTTTCCCTCTTGAGGAAGTTGTAACTGCAATGAGGTCTCCCCTCAGTCTTCTCCAGGCTGAACAAACCAAGGCACTCCTAATAGGCCTGTTAATTTTCCAGAGATGACCTTTAATCTAAGGGAGCTTCAAATGTTCAGGTATTCTCTCTTGTGCAGTCTATTGCTCACAGTCTTGTTGTGTGTGAATGTGTGTGTAATATAGAACCATGAAATGCCAAATAATAAATCCTGAAGAGCTCTTACATGTAAGAGTCAGCTGAGAGAAGAAGAACATTCCTTTTCTTTATGTATTTAGTCTTGAATACTGAAGAAAGAAGTTTTCATTTTCCTCCAAGTGGGTTGGCTCTACTATTTTATGACAGTGACTGTTCTTAAAGGCACCACAAGTACTGTGTTCTGCTCTTCCAAATTTAATGTCAAAGATCTATTAATATAAAGAATAAAATAATATATAATTTTAATATATAATGATCATTCTCCTCTCTACTGTGCGTAGAATGCATTTAAGCACTTTTTAAAGTATATTCTCATGGTGCTTTATAGTTTGAGAAAGTGCCTATTTTTTGCTATGTGGTCTCAAACTGCTGAAGATTTGCAGCCTACTTGTCCCTTTCCCATCATTGCAAATCTATGTGGTGTTGTGCATGTCGACATAGAAAAAGGATTTCTTTGTGAAATCCATAGTTTACTGAGATTAGGAGTATCTCTTCCAGTTACAACTCCAGGTTTATGTGATTTCACAGGCACCATAACAATGGCAAACTGAGTGTAGTTAAGAGGACGATCTAACAAGCTGTCATTTCTCACATACCATTTCTCTTAAAGCTACCTACTTGGAAGGGAATTTGAAATATATTTTATTTGGCTGTCAGAGGTCCAACTTGTAATCAAAATCTCTTCTTTCTTACATTGTGAAGAAGCTGAGAGGAGTAAACTGGATTATCTTTAGTGTGATACTCCTCAGTTGCTTCTCCTTGTATTTGGGAAAGTGAAATTTGAGAGAAATTCCAACTAAGTAGAAGATTCCCTGTTAGTAGTTTACAAATGTAGTTTGTAGCTTACCAAACCATATTTTTCCCTATCTTTTGGGGACACAATAAAAGTCATGCTTGTATAGAATGTGGCAAGACAGTAGCTCTCAAAAGACCATCCTGTTTTATACCATCTGCTCTGCCTTGCTTTGAAAATTACAGAGCTTTAGACCTTGATTCTTTCTTTCAGAGCTTTTAATTTTTAGCCTGGAATTTGAAGAGGACTAATTCCACTTGTATAATCTCAGCTTCATCTCAGCACTCCTCCAGGAGAGCAACTAGTTTCCTTAGAAGAAAGACTGTATTTGGTGGGGTTAAAATAATCTCTGTGGTTTTTGAATGTGGTGCAACAAATTATTGGCTTCCTTGTCAGTCTCAAAATTAATATTAATTTATTTACCCACCAAGCAACACATCTCTGAAAAGAGACTGTATAATACATTATTTTTTCCCTGCAGTAGGTTTTATAGCTCTTATTACAAGTTGTGTTTGTGTTCGTGTGCACACATATGTATTTCTTTCTCAGCAAAGATTCTGATTATTGGACTTAACAGTATTATCACTCCTCATACTCTAAACATTCCTACTAGTAGTACAGAGGGGTTTTTTGGCTCCTGTCTCCCACAGCTCTTTGCAAATTCAGCAGAATTTAATGACTGTCAAGTTGAATAGGCATTTATGGGAGTATCCTCCATTGTAAAAGATTTTGAATGCCTTTACCAAGTTAAACCAAGGAAGCTGAGGTTCGAAGGCTCTGAAGATCGTCTATTGCAGCACCCCTGCTTAGAACACAATCAGCTACAACAGGTTGCTGAATAATGTCTTTTGTCTCGTCACTAGATACCACAGAGGATAGCGTGGCTCCATATTCTTTACAGGTATTTACACAAGTTAGTAAGATCTCCCTGAGCCTTCTCTTCTATAGGCTAAAAGAATCACAGCTCTCTCAGCCTCTTCTCTTATGAGAAGACATCATGTTTCAGTCATTTTATTAGTCATCTTTTTGGTCCTTCACTGGACTCGCTTCTATATTTCCATCTCATGTGCTAAGGAGCTGTGGACTGGAGCCATTACTCCAGATACAGAGTCACCAATGCTGGATAGAGGGGAAAGATCGCCTCCCTTGGCTTGCTGGCAGCTCTCTTCGTGATGCAGCCCAAAGGGGCTGTTGGCCTGCTTTGCTGCCAGGGCACACTGTCTCTGTCTTATGGTAAACAGGAAGACCAAGAACCTCCAGGTACTTTCTGCCAAGCTGCTCTCCAGACAGCTGAGCCCCAGTCAGTCTCAAGTCCCTATCCTGTCCTCGTGCTGCGGAAGGTAGTTCTCCTCAGGCAGAGCAATATTTGTTCTCTCTACTTGAATTTCATCAAGTTCCTATCAGCCCTTCTCCAGTCTGTCAAAAATCCCTCTTGATGGCAGCAAATCCTTCTGATCTGCCAACCACTTCTCCCAGTTTAGAATCATCTGCAAACTTGTGGATTTTGCACTGGCTCCCATTATCCAGGCCATTAGCAATGTTACGAGTCTGTATTGGTGCCCATATTGACCCCTGGGGAACACCACTAGTGACTGGCCTCCAGGTGACTTTGTGGCACTGATCATGGACAGTAAGTCAGCTTCATGGACAGTAAGTCAGCTGCAAAACTGCCTGAAAAACAGGCAGTTTTGCAGCTGACTTACTGTTCATGTATCTAGTCCATAATTCTCTACTCAACAAGTGGGACATTTTATTTTGTAAAGGGCTCTCCAAGTTTCCAAAGACTCCTAAAGCCCTGGATTAAGTGAAAGGCAATATTTTATATAACCTCTTTGTCAAATAGGTCAGTCTGATCATTTGGTCACTTACAAGAGTATCTGATCCTTCTGCTGTTGTTCTGTACTTGAAAGGTTTTCCAGTGTTTTACATTTAAGATGAATTTGCATGTGTTATAACTAGGCTCCTAAAAATATTTAAACTCTTTTCTGATATACAAAATTGCTTTAGTAGCATTTTCCTCCTCGTGTTTGTTGTAGTTCTTTGATTATTCTCCACTGAATAAACCCCAAAAAGCCCCTGGCGTCTTCAGAGTCTGGATGAAATCTATATGTGAGGAGCACCTCTCCTACTGCTAGTGATGGAACAGCAAGCTTCGTCAGCATTTCTCTCCATTCT